AAGTGACTATTTAAGGCAAAAATAGGAATGAAGAATAAGATTTCTAACATGTGGAAGTAAACTGTATGACAACAATAGCACCAAAGACCAGGGAAATGGAAGCATACTATTTTAAGAATCTTATACTATACCTGAAGTCATTTGTTATTTAAGGCAGAGGATGATTAAAGATATGTAATATAAATCCTAGAGGAGCAGCTCAAAGTCATCATCTTAGCACCCTTATACCAAGAGTCAGCAAACTTTTCCTATTAAGGATCACATAATAAACATTTTAGGCTTTCTGGGCCATATACAGTCCATTAAAAATGAGCAATAAACTCAGATGACCAAAATAACATTGGTATGTTCTGGGACTACACAGAACCAAATGAGAAATATGTAACAGAAATGTATTAGAAAAAGGCCCAAATAATTGGAGATGAAACAACATAATTCTAAATAATCTATAGGTAAAAGAGCAAAAAACTAAACCAAAAAAACACCCACGACATAAGAAAATATTTAACTGCATAATAAAAACATAGCACATCAAAAGTCGTGGCTACAACTACAAGTGATTAAACAGAAAATAATAATTTTAAGTGTCTACGTAAGGAAAGAAGGAATTAAAAAAAAATCAATGATTTAAGCACACACCTTAAAAAGCAAGAAAATGAAGCAATTTAAACCCAAGGTAGAATAAAAGAAAATAACGTAGAGTAAATATCAGTAAAGTGGAAAATGGATAATATATGAAGTAAACAAAGTAAATAATTGAAAAGAGTAATTGATAAATCCTTAGCAACAGTGACCAAAAACAAAACACCAAAGACTTATCAGGTATGGAAAGGGGGGAACATCAACAAGTAAAGATAACAGATATAAAAGAATAATTAATGAACAGTCTGGATATTATGAACAACTTCATGCCAATAAATTCAATATTTAAACAAATTTTCTCAAAGAGAAAATTCACCAAAACTGGCATAAAAAACAGAAAACCTAAATACCCTTAATCTATTAAAGAAATTAAATATCAATCAAAGTCTTAAGGAAAATCCAGGTCCAGATAAAATTGACTAGTAAATTATTTCAAGTATTTACAGAAATGTCAATCTTACACAAACTCATTTAGAAAAGGGCAATATATTCCCAAATAAAAATATTAATACCTCTCATGAACATATATACAAATATCTTGTTTTTAAATGAGAAAATTAAATCCAGCAATGTATAAAGGAGATAAATAAATCATGACTCAATGGGTTTGTCAAAGTTCTCAAAGTGTTTATGAACCCTTACTGGTCTCTGAAATTCTTTCACAGAGCCAGCAAGATCAAAACTATTTTCATAATACTACGATGTTACTGTCCCTTTTTCACTGTGCTGACATCTGCACTAATGGTGGTAAATCACTTGAGGCTAAAAATTTTTAACAGTTTAGCACATATCAAAGTAATGATATAAAATAAATCGGTAAAAATGATTATTGATTTTATTAAATCTTGACCTTTGAATACATTTCTTTGTGATATTCTGTGTTATGAAATGGGAAGTACCCATTCAAAAAAGACTTACTTTCCTGGCAACCAAGATCTCCTTTAGTAGGTGAATAAAACTCTGGTACATCCATAAAATGGACTATATTCAGCACTAAAAAGAACTATACTATCAAAGCCATGAAGAGTCATGGAGGAAATTTAAATACATATTACTAAGTGAAAGAAAGGACACATCTTGTAGGATTCCCAATACATGACACTCTGGAAAAAGGCAAAGCAATGGAGACAGTAAAAATATCAATCGTTGTCAGGGTGTTGAAGGGATGAATAGGCAGAGCACACAGAATTTTGGGGACAATAAAACTACTCTGTATGACACTATAATGGTGAATACATGTCATTATACATTTGTCCAAACCCACAGAATGTATAACACCAACAGTGAATCCTCATGTAAACCCTGGACTTTGGGCAACAATGATGTGTCAATTTAAGTTCATCAATTATAACAAATGTGGGATGCCTGGGTGGCTCAGTTGGTTAAGTTTCTGCCTTTAGGTCAGGTCATGAAACAGGGACCCAGGATCAAGTCCCACATGGGGCTCCTTGCTCAGCAGGGAGCCTGCTTCTCCCTCTGCCTGCTGCGCCCCCTGCTTGTGTGCTCACACACATGCCTGCACTCACTCTGACAAATAAAATCTTAAAAAAAAAAAAAAAATTATGACCAATGTGCCATCCTGGTAAGAGATGTTGGTAATGGAGGAGGCTTCTGCCTGTGTGGGGAAGAGGATATATGGGAAAGCTCTGTTTCTTCCACTCAGTTTTTGCTGTGAATCTAAAACTGTTCTACAAAATAAAGTCTATTAAAAATATATCAGAGGAGGGGCACCTGGGTGGCTTAGTCGGTTAAGCCTCTGCCTTCGGCTCAGGTCATGATCCCAGGGTCCTGGGATGGAGCCCCGCATCAGGCTCCCTGCTCAGCGAAGAGCCTGCTTCTCCCTCTCCCTCTGCCTGCTGCTCTGCCTACTTATGCTCTCTCTGTCAAATAAATAAAATCTTAAAATATATATAGATATATGGGGCACCTGGGTACCTCAGTTGGTTAAGCATCCAATGCTTGATGTCCGACTCAATTTTGGCTAAGGTCACGATGTCAAGGTTGTGAGATGGAGACCTGTGTCAGGCTCTTGCTAGGCACAGAGCCTGCTTAAGATTCTCTCTCACTTTTTCTGCCCCTACCCACTCCTTGTCTAAATAAATTACATACACACACACATATGAAAATAATCAATAGAAATAACACATCTGCATACCAAAACATGATCATTTTCTTCAGGATAGCTTATATTAAATGTATGAGTTGCAAACAGACTAGTTACTTTTTCAGTATCATTTTTACTTAAAACTACAAATTATGGGTTTTTATACTCAAGTATTTAGCCAATATTTCTCAAATAAATGAAGTGAGCTTGCTGCTTTAGGAAAAATAAATGACTACATAAAGTTGCCAATGACAAAATTAGAGCTTTCGAGTGAAAATTCGAATTTTATATCTGTCACTATATACTTGGCACCTTTTGAATTATAGCCAAGTAGATTTGTATGCACAAAAAGTCACTGATGTGGTTTCTACCACAAACTAACCAATAATTAGCTATTACATGTTGAGTTTGAGTGTACTATGAAAGATGAATATTCACAATTTTATCAGAAAAGATACCTCCCTTTTGAAACTATTTATGTGAGGCCAGATTTATTATACATACCTCAACTAAAACAACTTATCGCAGCAGACTAAATGTAAAAGCAACTATGAGAGTTTATCTTCTATTAAGACAGATTTTCAAGAGATTTGCGAAAATATAGAGCACTGCCAGTCCTTTCACAATATTTCTAGGGAAACATTTAAAAATACAAAATTGACACGTAATGGGTTTGTCATTGTTATTTCTAAATAAATAGACTTTTTAATTTGTTTTAATTTCTAATATGGTAAATGCCAATAAATATAAACGAATATATATGAAACTCTTTGGGGTTTAAAAATAATAACTTTTAAGAGTGCAATTAGGGCTGCAAAAAAAAATTTGAGGGTTGCACATCCCAGGAATGAAATATTTAACAATTAAAAATCAATGAGGGGTGCCTGAGTAGCTCAGTCAGTTAAGCGTCTGCCTTCTGCTCAGGCCTTGATCTCAGGTCCTGGGATAGAGCCCCACATCTGGCTCCCTGCTAGATAGGGAGTCTGCTTCTCCCTCTCGCTCTGCTCCTCCCCTCCTGTTCATGCACTCTCTCGCTCTCTCTCAAATACATAAATAAATAAACTTAAAAAAATTAAAAATAGGGGCGCCTGGGTGGCTCAGTGGGTTAAAGTCTCTGCCTTCAGCTCAGGTCATGATCCCAGAGTCCTGGGATGGAGCCCCACATCGGGCTCTCTGCTCAGCAGGGAGCCTGTTTCCCTTCCTCTCTCTCTGCCTGCCTCTCTGCCTGTCAAATAAATAAATACAATCTTTAAAAAAAAAAGAAGAAGAAGAAGAATAAAAAATCAATGAGATTGACCAGATTATCAGAATAAAGTAGGAAAATCATATGATCTTTTTTAAAACTTAACAAAATTCGACAGCCATTCATAATTTTAAAAGTCCTAGTGAACAAGTTAGGATAAGACAAAGATGACCATTCTCATCACTTTCTATTCAACACTGTATTATAAGAAGTCCTAGCCCAGGGAAATAAGGCAATAATAAGAAATAAAAGTCATAAAGATTGGAAAGGAAGAAGTAAAAATACCTCTATTTGCAGATAACATGCTCGTGGACATAAAAAACCCCAGTGGAATCTAGAAAATAACTAATGAAACTATTAAGTGAATTTAGCAAGGTCACAGGATGAAAATAAACTACGTTTTTATAACCTACCCATGAACACTGGAAACAAAAATTTTTTTAAAATATCATTTAACAGCCACGAAACCTTAAGTCCAAAGAATCTAACAAAAACCATGAAGATCCTACACTAAGAAGCTACAAACTCAGTTTAGGAGAATATAAAGACCTAAACAGAGTACATCATTTTAAGGATTTTATACTAAATACTGTTAAGATGGCCATTTTCCCCAAACTGAACAAAGAACCAATACGATCTTAAAATTCCAAGAGTCCATTTGTAAAAATTGACAGACTTATTCTAAAATCAAAAGGAAACACAAAGAAGCTAAAATATTCTTGCAGAAGTTGGAGAACTTATACTATCTCATTTCAAGACTTATTAAAAGCTTTAATCACTAAGACCATGTGTACTAGCATAAGTTATAATCAAATATATCAATGAAAGAGGAATCCAAAAGTAAATCTGCCATGGATTTTCCCAAGACAAGTCAATGGGAAAAAGAGAGTATTTTCAATAAATAGTGCTGGAACAACTGGATACATCTATGGAAAAAAGGCATCTGCAACGCATCTGTATATAATAATTAAGAAACTGAATTACAGTAAATGCTCTTAGGATAATACTTACATTTTTTATTTTGAGGTTTCCCCAATCATCATCCTGTTTTAGAAACAAATGAAAAACATTTAACTACACCTTTATAATCTGAACATATTCTAATAATCAATGAATTTTAAGCTACTCCAAAATAGAACTGTTTTGCAGATTTTTACTTATTTAAAAAATCTTATTTAAAAAATTACTTAATAAAAAAAGTAATTTTTACTTAAAATTACTATAGTCAAAAGTATTTTGTTTTAAATGCAGTGATACAATCAGTAAGTCTTACAATTGCTTTAACTACATTGGGGGTTTGTGGGGGGAGTAGGGAGAGAAAAAATGAAAATAAAAAGGGGACCGGAGAGGGAGACAAACCTTAGGAGACTCAATCTCAGGAAACAAACTGACTCAATCTCAGGAAACAAACAAGCTGGGGGGTGGCAAGGTTGGGGGGATAGGGTGGCTGGGTTATGGACACTGGGGAGGGTATGTGCTATGGTGAGTGCTGTGAATTGTGTTAAGACTGATGACTCACAGACCTGTACCCATGAAACAAATAATACGTTATCTGTTAATAATTAAAAAAAAAAAACAATTGCTTAAACTACAAAAGACACAATCTAAAAAACAATAAACCTGACTGTACTAAACCTTGATGATAGATATTAATTTTTCTCCATGTTTGTTATATGTATGCACCCAGCAAAACTAGTAATTAGCTTGTGACAGGAATTAAGAGTAACTTATGAAATAAGGTCTAAATATAATTACAATGATTATATAATTTACTGTCCAAAGGAGGAGATTTTTTTTTTCAAAGCAGATTCTTAAAATGAAAGTGCTATTAAAAATTATACCAGGAATACCAGAAGCAAACTACCCTTAATGACATCTGCTGTGTCCACAAATGTTTTTTCAAGTCCTAAATTTCGCATCTATGAAGTAATTAAATATTTTCACTTCAATATATTCAATTAAAACAGTTTTTTTTAATGCCATGACTGGCCCCCAGACATCCTGGCCTACGACATACTGCAGCTAAACTCTTTCCCTTCACAGAATAAAGTCATTTCCACATAACTTCTTTTTCAGACAAAATGCCAGGCACCCAGTATGTTTCCCTTTGGTAGTGCCAATTTTTTCTTTGGGCATCATGCTTCAAAGCGCAACAGTAACTTCCTAAATATCCTTCTCAGTTTAAGGTCCATTTCTATTAATCATAAGGAACGATAACTATATACATGCTCCCTCAGTTCCCTTATCTGAGGTCACACAAAGCTGAAAAAAATGAACTGAGATTTGCTTGGCTTGCTCTTCTGGTAACATGCTCTTCTGGTAACCTGCTATATGTTACTTAAATCTCTCTGATGCTAAGTTTCCTCATTTATTAAATTATAAAATACATTTATTCTTATTTTTCCAATATACAGAGTTGAGAATTAAAGAAAATAAAAGCCTGGCACAGAATAATTATTCAGTAAGTGATTACTATTAGTAGTCAATTTCATTTAATTACTATTTCTCTGTAATTCTCCATAGTACATCACCAGTAGACAGCTCATCACAAATTCAGTTATCAAGCCACTAATGACTAAAAAGCTCATACTGCAACTTGGAGGGGAAACAATGTTTTCTTCACCAACATCAATTTCACTGCCCACCTGACAGGGGCAACCAAGCCATATCTGTAAAGTTAACTATAGCTCTTGGCATTTCACACCTAACTCTTGAGGGTATTATTTTTTTAAAACTATACTTCCATAGTTTTACAAACAGTAATACTTGCATGTTTTTGTGGCACATCACCAATGACACCAGGAAGCTTAGACTCCTAACTGTAGTCAATATGACCATCCCAAGGAAACTGAAGAAAAAATTATGTTTGCTCTCTCTTTTAACAGAAATATTTTCTCCTACCTCCAAACAGGTTTTACATAGCAATTACTCCCTAAGTGATAAGAGCCCCTTTTCAATGAGTAGAATATGAAACAGGCCAAAAAAATTAACAGTTTTCCAATATTCAGAATGAGGCTTTGGTAAAGATGTTGAACTATTCTGAATTTCAACACTGAATGCATGTACAAAAATACCTTCTGTAGTCTTTTTTTTTTTTTTTATCTACCATATTGTTCTATATTTTTAAGAGATAAAATTTTCTCCACCCCATAACAGAAAACTACTAAGGATGTATAGATTTTTATATTAATTTAAACAAAATAAAATATTTTTAACACACCCTCACCAGGAAAAAAATCCAAACAACAGAGATAAATGGAAAATTCCCCACTCCCCTGACTCCTATGAGTATTCAGTGATACAATGCATTTTAAAATAAAAATTTTAATGATGCTTCTATAATATAGTGTTTTGAAATGGCTACAGTGTTCCTTTCTACACTAACATGAATAAGAAAGTTTTAAATTCACAGACTATACACTCTCAACAAATTAAAAAATATATATACCTCAAATGCTACATTTTCTGGTGTTTGTTTCCACTAATTATGTAATAGTATATAATGAAAATCTGGACTAAATTTTACCTTCAATGTTCCTCCTTTCACCATAACTTTCTGTCTGGCCGGCTGGACTCCAGTGAGTGCAAAAAGCTGAGCCTTGAACACCATGGGAGGTTCATCAGTGTTCAATTCTACACCTTCAAATTTCTCCTTTCCCCATTTCACAGTAACTGCAAACAAAACCATAATTTTTTTTTTCATTTATAAAAATAAGGCATATTTTTAAAAATAAAATAAAATAAAGCATATTTAAAACAGGTGTAGGAATGCAGATTCTGAATTTTAAGAAGAAAGGTTCCATGGGAGAATTGAAGGGTGTGGTTCCCATGCAAGAGGTGGTCAAATATTAAGAATCCAAATATTAGGGGCGCCTGGGTGGCTCAGTGGGTTAAAGCCTCTGCCTTCGGCTCAGGTCATGATCCCAGGGTCCTAGGATCAAGCCCCGCATCAGGCTCTCTGCTCAGTGGGGAGCCTGCTTCCTCCTCTCTCTCTCTGCCTGCCTCTCCACCTACTTGAGATCTCTCTCTGTCAAATAAATAAATAAAATCTTTAAAAAAAAATCCAAAAATTAAAAGATACAGAAATTTCAAAATTAAAAATTAAAAAATACAGAAATCTTTCTTCAGTCATTTGGATGGCTATTAAAAAAAGAAGCCAATGAAGAAGAAAATACCTAGTGCTGGTGACAATGTAGAAAAACTAGAACCCTTGAACATTCCTGATGCGAATATAAAACAGTATAGCCACTGCAGAAAAAAGTATGGCGGTTCCTCAAAAAATTAAACTTACCATCTGATCCAGGAATTCCACTTCTAAGTATATACTCAAAAGCATGAAGCAGGGACTCAAACTGCTATCTGTATACCCCTGTTCATAGTGCATTATTCCCAAAAGACTCAAAGATGTGAGTGACCCAAGTGTCCATCAACAGATAAACAGATGAACAAAATGTGGTACAGACCTATAATGGATATTATTCAGCCTTAAAAAGTAATGAAATTCTTATACATACTATACAACATGGATGAACCTTGAAGACATTATGCTAAACAAAGCAAGCCAGATGCCAAAAGTCAAACATTATGATTTCCCTTATGTGAGGTACCTACAGTAGTCAAATTCATAGAAAGTAGGATGATGGTTGCCAGGAGGCTGGAAGGAAGAGGAAATGGAGAGTTATTGTTCAATGGGTATAGAATTTCAGTGTAGGAACATGAAAAAGTTCTGAAGGTGGATGGTGAGGACAGTCGCACAACAATATGAATGTACTTAATGCCAAAAATGTACACTTAAAAATAGTTTAAGCAGTACATTTTTGGTTACATATATTTTACCATATAATAAAAAAAAAAGTCTATTGGCCTCATGAAATATCTAACGTTTGAAATAACATAAAAGTAAGTAAACACAATATACATACCTTGCCACTGAAAACTTCATACCTACTCAAATAAGAATCTCACAAGAGTTGTCTGTTTTTCCAATAAAACCAAAATATGAAAAACTAATCCTTACTCCAAATCCCAACTCCTTCACTAGTTCAATTAATGTGTTTAACATTCATTCAATAAGCCCCAGAACAAGCTCTAGGAAGATTCTATGAACTTAGAATTTAATAAAAGAGAGAAAAGGGGGAGAAAAGGTAAAAATATTTAATAATAAAATATAAATATAAATATTATAAATGTTAGAGGATCACAAAGGAATGCTTCATGAGTGAAAGATGCCTGGAGGAAGTGGTAACTTCTCTTTGAGTTGAGTCTCAAAGAAAAAATTAAGTGTTAGCCTAAATATAAGCATTCCTGGAAAAGATAAGAAAAACATCAAAAGCATAAAACTGCATTTTGTGCTCTGAGATTTAAGTAATTCCCTGAGAGGGGGGAGAAAACTGAAACTGGAAGCTGACCAAGGAGAAAGTCACAAAAGATAACATGTCATGCTAAAACATACAGGCTTTGGGTTTTATGTTATAGAAATGCAGTATCTGTGAAAGGTTTTCATAAACGCCACTTTAGTCTGGTTTGAACTTCAGAATGTTCTAGCAGCAGCTGGGGAAAATGGGTTTGAAGAGGACACAACTGTAATCTTGAAATAAACTAGGAACAGAGAACAATGTACAAGCAAAAGATTAAACTAAACTAAAACAGTACTAGAAATAATGAGGAACCTATCTGAAATTAATTTAGCTGTGTCACCATGAGCAAGTTACTTAAACTTTTTGTTTATCCATCAAAGAGAATTATACTGGTGTCACAGGTTATGCTGAAGGTTAAAACAAAGCAACATGTATAAAAATACTAGCTTTGTGCCAGGTATACAGGTGTCCATTAATTTTAACAGCACTTATCCTTAACCATATACGAATCTATTTAATTTTCTACTAAAACTTATGAAATAGTACTTAAAATATTCTCATTTTAATATAGGGTTTTTTTGCAGAACCTGAAAATATAAATTCTCAATATAGAGAGGTCAAAGAAGAAACCTTAGAAACCTACTTCAATTCTCTCATTTTGGAAATAAGGGAAAGATATGGTTAAAATATTTAAGACAGAACTTAATGTTAAAATAGATAGTTTGGTGAATACAAGTATTTCTTGAGGGGAACAAAGAGAGGTTGGTGGTGTTGTATGAGTCTACCAGTGCGTTTAAGTATTAGCATACACTGGTATTTATCGCCATCACTTAATTAATAACCCCTCAATTCTACATTGCATAAATAGAATATTTCAAGTACCATTCTACTGTTAATCTTGGCTTTAGAAAGAGGTTCAGCAATCATTAAAGCGTTCGGTTCAAGATTCTAGAACACCAAGAATCCACATCGAAATTAAACATTGTTCCTTTGATTCCTATCATTCTTTGGAAATACTGAATCTTCAATAAAGAAATTATGATGGAGTTAGGAATGGCCAATGAATCACACATTCACTGCGAACCAAAGTCACCACATACGTTTTAGGTGCCATTTTGAAAAAGACTAAGAACAGCAAGGTCCATTAACTAAGTGAAAATGTGATCCCTGGCTAATACCTTGGCCTGCCTCAAGCAAAATTTAAAAACAAACAAACAAACAAAAAACTGCCAAATGCCATTTAAAAGGAAATGACGCCTGCGGGTATTTGTGTTCATCTAAGTCTCAAAGCTTAACATCATTCTTCAGACGTAGAAACCCAATATAACGTTTGATGAAAACATAAGTTCACAATCTACCTCGGGATAAAACTGAAATTTATACAAAAGGGGTGTTTGAGCCAAAGGCAGCAAGGGGTAAGCTATCGGAAGCTGTTAAGGGAAACCCGAAGCCCCCTGAAAGCTAACCGTCCATCCCAGGTCCTTCCATCCCTCCCTTTCCCCAGGCTTCCTCCTCCCGACCCTCTCCTTCCGCAGCTACCACTGACGAGTCCAAGCAAATCCCACTACACCTCTAGCCTGGTCCCGGGGGCCTCGGGACACACCCTCACCTCTCCTGGCTCACTAGGACATGACAGAAAAACTATTCTGCAGAGTCACCACTCCCAGAAGCTGACTCGCGCTCCCCATCCCCACTCCCACCCACTCGGGCCGGAGGGGACAGCGATCCCTGAGGTTGCAGAGCTCGGAAACAGCGGGCGGAGAGAAAGGGGCCAGGGTCGTCGCCCGCCGCAGTAGCCCCCGCCCATGCCTGCCCGTGCCCTCCCCAGCCCCATGCTCAGCCGGGTGCTGGCCCTGCAGGCCCGGCCTACTCAGAGGCCTAGCGCAGGACGGAAGTGCAGGGCGAGGAAGGAGCTCACCGGAATAAAGCGGCATGGCGGCGGTGCAGGAAGGCTGGGCCTGGCAAGGGCGACGAAGGGAAAGGAACGCGATGTAGCTGTGGCGGCGGCCAAGGCAGAGGCGCGGTAGTGGCGGCAGCACGGCTGCGACGAGAGTCTCATTCAAACCGGCCACTGGCGATGACGCAGCAACACGCAGTTTGCCCGCCGCGAAACCACAGGGCGAAGGCAGGAGAAGACCCGGCGGGCTGAGCCGGCGAGGCGGGGCCTGCAGGGTGGAGAGCTGAGGGAGGTGGAAGCCAAGCCGGGCGAGGCGGCGGGCAAGCGCGAGCACGCGGCCCCTGCATCAGTACAGGTGCACGCCTGCGCATTGCCCTGTGCTGCCCGCGCCCGCCACGAAGTGAGCTGGCCCTGCCCTCCTAGCCTCCGCTGGATGCCAGCCATGTGCCCCGCAGCTGTCTTTTTAAGAAAGCCTTTCTCCCCTTTTTCGAAAGAGGGGTTCGATTCGAGCTGGGCATATTTTTCCCCTTGTTAATATAGCTGGTAAAAAAAACCTCGGGCCTTGCTCCACCCCCCCTCACCTGGGTCTACTTAATAAAAATACCCAGCTCTCCCTTTTAGGATTTTGTGACAAAATGCGTGTCAGAAGACTTTGAATGCTGCAGAGATAGGCCTGCCTTGATTGTAATGTGTTACTGTTGTTCCTCAAAACCGGTTTGAACTCTAGGTTGAATCCAGTGAGAAGAAAAGATAAAAATAAAATAATTAAAAAATAAAATAATAAAATAAAATGCCCTACGATGGTGAGAGTTGCCCATAGCCTTTCACTTACTTGTCTTGGACCGGTTTCCCCAATCTAGAAAAAGAGGGAATTCAACTGGATTGTTTCTGAGGCCTCTTCAAACTCAAAATTGCCATGGGAAAGGTAAATTCAAGCATTCTAGATAAGAAGTAGAGCCTATAAGTTAAAGGAGAAATTTCAAAGGAATTCAAGTCAAATTTGAGGTACTTTCCTGCCTCATAGAGGCTTTATTACTATTCTAAATGCTGCAAAATTGTTGAAACTGTCCATAATTTAAGACATAAATTGTCCACGTTTCAAAACACTACAACCCATTCAGAGACCAATTTTACGAATATACATCAGGGGTCTTATTCACCCTTCACTACATCAAGACCTATGAGCATAGGATCCAAAATGTGATGGAAACAACACAACGATGCTATAGAATTTTATTTTTTTAAGATTTTATTTATTGGGGCGCCTGGGTGGCTCAGTGGGTTAAAGCCTCTGCCTTCGGCTCAGGTCATGATCTCAGGGTCCTGGGATCGAGCCCCGCATCGGGCTCTCTGCTCAGCAGGGAGCCTGCTTCCTCCTCTCTCTCTTTCTCTCTCTCTCTCCCTCTCTCTCTCTCTCTCTCTGCCTGCCTCTCT